CAGAACCAAAATATCAAGTGGTTTCTCGTAATCTCCCCAGATTTTTCGCATGTAAAATCAGTGCCTACATCATGGGAATGGTGCACTGGTAAACCAAAACTTGGATAAGTTGTGAAGCTCGGGTGAGTGACAATAATACAAGTATGTGATAATCAATAAAAAGAAAGACCATTGATCACAGTTTATAAACCTCAAATATAAGTTCATAATTATGAAAACATAGTCAAGTCTCTAAAAACTCCGAAGGAGTCACCCAGACATCCAACAATTTTTCCAACTCAAGCCCCAAAGATTCTCAAAAACTATTGTTCATAAATACACTAAAATCTAGGGCTAGAGGGACGCAGTTTGACCGAAGCCTACATAAGTAACCAAATAGGAAGTGGCCCCCCCATAGTGGATTAACCAAGCAGAGCCACCCCTGAGTAACCATGTAGGTAGTGACCTCCCATCGCAGATTAACCAAGCAGGGTCACTCATACGAATATGTTAGGCAATGATCACCAATCGCGGATTAACCAAGCATGATCACCCCTAAGTATGTATGGCCATAAGGATCGCCCATCGCGGATTAACCAAGCACGATCCATAAATAATAAGGTCCTATTGCGGATTAACCAAGCAGGACCTTAAGTGACCCCCCATTGCAGATTAACCAAGCAAGGTCAAGATAACCAAGTAGGTAGTGATCCCCCATCGCGGATTAACCAAGCAGATTCACACCTACAAAATTGTTAGGCAGTGATCACCCATCGTGCATTAACCAAGCATGATCACTCCTAAGTATACATGGCCATAAAGATCACCCATCGTGGATTAACCAAGTGCAATCCATAAATAGTATGGTCCCATATCGCGAATTAACCAAGCAGGAACATCCATGTACCACTATTACATGGTGCAGACTCAGTGTCACCTAACCTCGTGACACTAGGGTAACGGTCCCCTACTAGCCCTCAGTTTAACAAACATTTCAATAGGCACTATAATTCACTTTTTCACATATATTTCCAGTCCATGAATCAAATCACATTTAATAAAAATAGATCGATGGCCAATTATAAAAATCACATTTTACAGAAAACACTTTTATAAAACCAGGTCATATCCACAAAGGATACTAATATAAGACAAACAGGGTAATAACCATATCACATATATTAAAGTCACTCACCAAGACAAGTCCACAAAGCCTCAATGAGTCTTTAATAATACTAATTTTAGTAATTCAAATGTTCAAGACCTATTGACCAAAAGTCAACTCTGAGTCAACGATGGGGTCCACACCCTAGTCATTTAATCCGGAAGAACCTCACAACGTATTTTGGACCCGTAACTTCCTAGGGTCCACATTATGCTCCTAGAATAGCATACTAAAATCTCACCGCGATCTGACAGTCAGATCTTCGCTAATCTTAAATTCAAGTGGTGGTTAACAATTAGTTTTACAAACTTAAAAAATCCATTTCAGGAAGATCCGTACGTTGGATTCTTGATTCGTCAGTATCTACTATCCTCCAATATTATGTACTATTACATATTTAAGTTTGGTACCAATCCAACAGTCGGATCGTCAATTCATATAATAATCTCGTGGCGGCCAACTAGGTGGTTAACTACAAAACTATATGATAACATTGGAATCTCACTAAAATGATGTCAAATATGGAATCGGGTTATCAAAATTAGCCTAGGATGGTCCGGGGAGTCTCGGGCCACGTGAATGCCGGCTACCCCAACTCGCCGAAAAATTCAACTATTTCCAAAAATTCTCAAATTTTACAAGAGTGAAGATCTCAATGAGCAGATAAAACTTTATACATGTGACCAAGTCTAATTTGGCCGGGAAAGGCTACAATTTCACTCAAACCTGCCAGAAACCTTAGAATGGGTGAGCTTCGATTCTTTTTCCTCAGTGCTCCGACGCCCCTACAACTGGTTAGGTCTTGTTCCTGGGTCCAATGGGAGCTGATTAAAGGTGGTGGTGGGTGGTTAAACTCGTCGGATCGGAGGAATCATCGTCGAGCACCTTCGGTGCTCCAGTGGGGTTCTACACGGAAATGGACTTTAAACCATTCGAATTTGGTTGGAGATGGTAGATGGGAAGTTGTGGAAGAGGTTGTAGGTGATGGATGGTGATGATTCGACGAAAAAATGGCGAAATCCACATCATTCCGTCTGGGGTGTGTGTGAAATGTTTCAAGGAGAGGAGCAGCCATGAGCTATGTAGTGGGGCTCCAAGAGCTATCAAGTTTCACCCCTACTACTTCGTAGTGGGATTTATTTTTCCCATGTTGTGTTTCTTCCAAGAAGTGTGCCCCTGCTTAATGTTCTCCAAATTCAGTCCATATGATGGTGGGATTCCTTAATATGAGCCAATTCTTTGACTCGGATCTAATTGTCAACGAATTTTGGTACTTCTTTGACATAGGCCACAATGATGGAGTTAGGCAGCTAGGATCCTACCATAGGCTCTTTAATCATTCGAGCAAAGGAGATCATAATTGGGCCAAGGAAACTTTGGAGATAAGCGGAAAGTGTGAGTCTTATTCTTCCCCTAAGTTGCATATTCTGACAATTTTCATCACTAGTAAGTCGATTGCTTGGTCTTTAAGCCGCTTTGTGCTTTTGCTTAGCTGCTCTCTAATGTACTAATTGTCTTCCTCTGTCTATATAGATTTGAAATTTAGCTCAACTCCCAAGACTTCTCCAGATATAAAGAAAGTGCACATTGGCTACTTAGTAATCTTCGCCAGAAGAAAGGTTGGATGTCCCTTAGAGAGGAGATAAAGCGAATCAAGGTGGATGAATTTACTCATCCGATCACTGTCGTGGAGCTTGCTGTGAATGAAGGTGGAAAAAAGAGATCTTCCTTGCTTGCTCAAGAGCTACTGGTTTGAGAATAAAACTGAAGACTTCCTTTGCTGCTTGTGAGGGTCCACCCGCTGCCAAGAGGCGTGTGATTAACTTGACTTATTCTAAAGGTAAAAAAGATAAGGCTGTTAGATCTGAGTCTGTGACGCGTGCCATGCCCAAGATAGCTAGTATGATTGCTGATAGGATTGCTTAGCGTAGAGGTTCTATCATGCCCCTAGTGCCGAAGTTTGTACTAAGACATCTATTAGGAGCTAACTCTGGTTCACCTTTGGAGAGTCTTGCTCCTATGAAGAACAATACAGTGGACTCTATTACTAAAGTGGCACTAAGGCCTATTCCTCTTGCTACTAAGACTGGTTCGCTTGCTGAGAAAAAGAAGACTGCTTGTGTGGGCAGTTATAAGAATCCACCAAGCCTGTTTTTAGAGAGTCTGTTGAGATCTGCATGCTTTTGAAGCCAAATATGCTTGAAGTCTTAGACGCGTGTGCCAAGCTTGTTGATGGCGTTAGAGGGGTTGTTTGCCCAATTTTCTTTGCAAAGCATACAACCCAATATAGGAGGATTGCTCTGCTTGCCATGATGCAAAAAACGACAATTCTGGCAGCTGAATCTATGCTCCTGACCAAGATGATACCAAGGCTGCCAAGGAGATGGCAACAACTATGGCAGCTGAGGCTTATTCTTTTGTCGAGAAGATAAAAAAATTTGGAGTTTGAGCTCATCGCTTTGAAAAAGGTCCAATATCTTTGCCTCCACTTCTCTGTTGCTTGAGACCGCTAGCCAGGAGATCGTTGACTTAAAGGTTAGGCTTGACGCGATCCAAGTTAAGTATGAAAGTGCAATAAAAAGATTGGTCATAATACATACCTTCAAGATCTTGAGTCATTACAAGCTTCGTCTCTGCTTACGAGAATTCAAGATTCTGAACGTGTCGTTTCTTAAAAGCTTCTGCTGCTTAACGCAAAGATGAAGAGTTGATTGCTGCTTATAATCAAGTGATCCACTTCTAGAGAAGATCATTAGTAGTCTTAAAACCCCAAGTGTTGGAACTCCAAGATGTGTAGACTAACAAAAATTTGAAGAAGGAAGTGGATGAGCTGCAGCACGTCCGTGTTGGTTTGCTAAAGGAGAATGCGCAGCTAAAGGGTAAGAAGGTTGGACTCGAGGCGTCACTTGTCCTATGTTAGGCTGATTTCTTTAGTAGGTCGTCTAGCTTTGAGTTTGGTAGGAAGGACTTCGAGACCTCTATTTCTCTGAAGACTTGCTTACTTTTACTTTCGAGGCTTTCATTTGTGGAGTAGTCAGAGAAGTTAGTGCCCAGGTTGGGGTAACCAAGAGTTACTAGATGATGCCGCTGCTAAGAATGTGGCGACTATTGAAGGTGTGGTAGCTGAGTAGTCGTGGGATGTCCAAGCTGCTGAAGTGCAGTCTTCTATGTAGCCTTTAGGATTTTCTTTCTTTTCTTTGTTGCTTTTTGCTTTGCTTGACCTTCATCGGCCTTTGCTTTTTGTTTATCAATTTTGATAGAAAATTTAATAAATTTTCTTCCTTTGTTTTTCTTCATCTTTGCTTCTTTTGTTTACGCCTAACCTTTGATTTTTAGACCAGCTGCAGGTGTGCTACTTTTCTATAAGTAGACAGACCCACGTAGCCTATACAGCCGTAGGTTTTTGTGTAGAACTTTTGCAAAGCTATTAGCCATAAGATCGACAACCAGACTCCTTACTTACAAAAGTAGACGAGCCTGCGTGACCACTTAGCTGTTAACTTTGGCTTTCTTCAATCCTTTAAGCTACAACAGCCTTTGTGCCTTGTTCATCAACTTCAATCAAGGATTTATGATAAATTTTGGCTCCAATTGGAGATGAATCCAGCATTTCTATTAAATCACATTCAGCATTGAAATGCAACACCAGTCCTAAATCCTTGAGGATGTCGGATGCTTTAAACGCAAAGCTAAACTTAAACCTTGGGATTGAAGTCACCAACTTCCACTCGCCTTAACGGATGATGGCGATCTAAGAATCCAAGCTCGAAACAAACTCTTTCGACCAAAGTTGCCGCCCATATCTTGCATTTGCAAGCAATAAGTACATCAAAAAATGTCGCTTCTTGTCTTGACCTTATGCATAACGAAGCTTCAAGACTTTGAAGCCGTCAAAGGCTTTTACAAATTGGTTCTCAGAGCTTCTCATGAACAACACTTTAATGCAAATACAGTTGAGAAGGTGGGAGCAGTCGTATTTTTGTTTTCCATGTATCGAACTTGTTGCTCCAAAGGCTTTTGAAGTATAAGGCATTTGAAAATATAAGCATGGTTTTCTTGTCAACTGACTTAGGAGGAAGAGTCTTAGTGATAAGGCCCTTCGTCGCCTTTTCGGCCTATAAATTCACTTGACATCTCACTTCTTGAGGGTCATGGAAACTAACATGTTTTATATCTGCCTTGTAAGCAGTGTTTACAACCTCTTTGAAAGAAGGTTTGATGGGGAGATACTCCTTAACCCAAAGGCCATTGGCAAAGGATAGGCAGAAATCACCTCTAAAGGATCCATTTGCCAAGACTAAAGGAACAAGATGGGTGGCGAGGGAGTTGAGTTCGTCAACGGACTTGGACTTGAGGAAAGTGAGTAACTGCTCCTTTATGGGAACCTTTGATCAAGCCGTTAACAGCCATAACATGACCTAGATTGACAACGGCGAGTACACCATGTTCTTCTCTTTGCCTTCAGTCGCGAGCAATTGCTTAGTAATTTCAAGTGACACATCGGTTAGGTTGCTGATGGATGTTTTGGCTGACTAAGATACAAACAAACAAGGAAGCCTCCAGTTACATGGAAATCAAACACCACGATAGGGAACAAAAATCAAACTATTGATAGACCAGACGTAAAATGGCAAGCAATTTTTGGATTAATTGTTGAATTTGAAACCCAAATAGAAACAGTAAAATCAAAATTCAAATTAAAAATCAAAAGGAAAGCTGGGGTTAGGGAGGAATTTGCAGTTGCACTGAATAACAATCACATCGAAAGGGAAAACTTACTTGTATATCGCTACCGAGGAGAAAGAATAGAAGAGGAGGGAAGAATGTTGGCTATTGAAGCGACGACATACAAAACGGACTCTTAAATTCAAAGGTGTCAGCAGACTGATGCTGCTAAAAGTGAAATGACGACATCTGGTGTTGTTGCTGCCGGAACATCGACTGAGTTCCAATTTTCAAAGGCCAGGTTCCAAGATGGTGTCCCAAAGGCTGGGTTTCAAGATGGCGGGCCGAAGGCTAGGTTCCATGACGGAGGCATGAAGCCTATGTTCCAAGACGGCGGCCTGGAGGCTGGGTTCGACGATGGCAGCCTGAAGGCAAGGGTCGACGATAGGGTCCCGAAGGTTGGAGTTGAAGACGGATCCTCAAGGCTGGGGTAGAAGACGGCCTATTGAAGGCTGGGGTCGATGAGGGCGCTCCAAAGGGGAACGACGAAGATTGATCTTCAAACATTGTCTTTTTCTGTTGAATGATGTGTAGCTCTACTGCTGGACGCCTTTGCCAACCACGCTAGGGTTTTGAAGTTCAATAAGCTCCAAATCTCAGATGAAGACAGGGTAGAATTTGGTTTATTTATTTATTATGGGCAGGAATTCTATATTAATCATTGTAGACATTGAAATTTCGATGAAATAAATGTTCACCAATGCATTAAAGTTTTGACATGCCAGGGCATACGTGGCATGCGCCACGTGTCACACAAAATGTACACATGGTGTGTGACTCAACAAAGTCGGATGAGTCATCAAGAAGGACACATGTCAACACTTGGCAGAAAGGAATTATTTGATTTTAATTTAATTAAATCAAATGTTAATTGATGGAGTCAAATCACGAACCGGCCCACAAATCAAGTCTTAGTTCTTTTGTCAATTAATCAATTTCACAATCAAGGACAAATCCATCCATAGTCAAGGCTTGGAAAGTCTATAAGTATGAGGCTCTAAGACAAAGAAAGAGGTCTAGAAATCATTTCACGCCTAGACGCTGAAGCTTTGAAACTCTGAAGCTCTCAAGCACCTAAACACTCAAACACTCAAGAAGACTTAGAAAACCCTTCGTGTCCTTCATCAAATCCCATGAAGAACCACCAAGCACCCCTACACGTGCCGGTTCCTCCATTGTCAAGAGCCAAAACCTTGCGACATTCGTTCGTCCAAGATCAAGTCATCGCGACCCTTGGATCAAGAACACTACGCATCTACACATTTTGGAGATCGAATCAACGGATCAAGTTGTAAAGAGATTGTAACCTTGCAAATTCATCAATATAAATCTATTTTGTACACGTGTTCTTGTCTCATTTGTCACAGCAAATTTGTGTTAGCAAATTTGGCACATCCAGTGGGATAATCTCTACCTTTCATCTCTTTCTCCGTTCAAGAAATCCAAGCACACTTCAAAGTTAATGGCATCAAAGAAGGGACAAGCCGCTCTTGCAACCAAGGGAAAAAGTGCAATCACTTCTGCCGCAAGCGGAGAATCCATTGGCGTCACAACCCTGAGCAAGGCAAAGGCGGTCGCCACTCTTCAGCATGCCATTTCAAAGTTGGTGCCACTGAAGACAGAAGGGGAATGTCAGAGGCACACGTCCGTCATCAACCTAGCCTCGCTAACGACATCGAAGCATGCTGCTGTGGCACACAAGATGACTTCCCAAAATGGCTAACGGGACTCTTTGTCTTCGAAGAACTCGAGGGTACGCTCATTATCACTAGCTTTAGATACAAACTCAAACATAGGATCCTACTGCAGATCATCGCCAACCAGTAACCATTGTGTGAAGACTTCGCCAACACCCTCGATGTCTGCAGGAGATTCTTTGGTTGCGCAAGTCATGACCACCACCACCACCTCCATTAAGGAGAAACTTGCACGTATAAATGAGGCGATTGTGAAGCTAACGAAGAATGTTGAGGAGGATGACGCGCAAGTCGCTACACTCATGAGTAGGTTGGAATCGTAGCATGATGGAGAAGCCGACCCTGACCCAAAGAAGAATCAACACGACGAGGAGTCTGGAAAGGAAGAAGCACATCATATCAACAAAGTTGGAGGGAAACAAAAGCTAGTGTCTGAAGCTACATCAATAGGCTTTCTTTCCATCCAATAACTTCAAGACATGATCACAAATACAATCAAGGCACAATATGGAGGCACTTCGAGGGATGAACTAATGTACACCGATGGGATACCAACCATCAAAGTTCATGCAGTTTGACTGAAAGGGAAACCCAAAGCAACATATCGCTCATTTCGTTAAAACTTGCAACAACGCTGGGATAGAGGGAGACTACCTCATAAAGCAGTTTGTCCATTCTTTGAAAGGAAACGCGTTGGATTGGTACATAGACCTAGAGCCTGAGTCCATAAACAATTGGGAGCATATGGAGCGAGAATTCTTGAACCGCTTTTACAACACCCGTCGCACCATCAGCATGATAGAGCTTACAAATACAAAGCAGTGGAAGGATGAGCCAGTAGTTGACTACATCAACCGATGGCGCACTCTAAGTCTTGATTGCAAAGACAGACTCTCGGAGATCTCCTCAATCGAAATGTGCGTACAAGGCATTCATTGGGGATTACATTACATTCTTCAAGACATCAAACCGCGAACCTTCGATGAGTTAGCCATTGATAGGAGCATATTTATGTGACTTAATTGGCTTGTTCTTGTGCGTTTACGTTGTGTTTCTTTAGTTATTTTAGTGTTTAAAGCCATTTTCATTTGTTTGTAGGTCTTAATAACAACCTTGGCAAGAAAAGTGCATTTTGGTGCATGTTGGATCAATATTGGGCTCAAATGGATTGCATGCATGAGGATGGACGTTTTGGGCATATGTGTGTGCAAGTGTGTGTGTGTAATTGCAAGGATAAACAATGACAACTCATACACATGCAAAGTAGCCCACATGCAAAGTGAAAGACTCTAAGTACAAAGTATGCAAGAAGATGCATTTTGGAGGTCTTTGGAACATGTTTCGGGCTTGGAATGGATAGCAAATGCATGGGCCAAAGTGGATGGACGAATTTGAGAACTAAAGAGGCCAAGAATGTGAAGAATTAGTGTCCAAAAGATAAAGAATTCAGCCCAAAAATTTGTCACTCCAAGTTGCACACTCATTGCCATGCAAAACACATAGAATTCCCTTTGGATTCCCATGCCATGCTTGATCACTCTTGTCCCCTACATAATTTCTGATTTCAGATTTCATTTTAATTCATTTAATTATTATTTCACTCAATTGCTTGATACCTCTTGTTCCCTTCACCCATTAGATTTTAGACAACCTTTACATCCATTACATGCACCAATTGATTGATCCATCATTCACATTTCCATCATTCACATTTGGAATTTTCCAAGGGCATTTGTCACACATGTTGTTGCCCACCTTTGTTGACCCATTTGTTGACACATTTTTCCCTTTCCATCTCTATGTACACATGTCACAATCATTCATGCTTCTAGCTGCACCAACACAACCCCATCCATTTACCCTTCATGCATCACTTCATCACTTTTCACCCTTGGACCATTGCACACCACACACACCAACTTGCCATGCATTTCATCCCTAGCCTAACCTGATTTTCTAAGGTTTTTGGGGCCTATAAATACATGTTTACACCCCTTGGCCAAAGACAATCCCCTATTCATCATTTTATCACATAAATTCGTCACCATTCTAGTGAAGCAAAACACCCCAAAAACACCATTCTAGTGCCTAGAAAACAAACAGCCAACCACCTTCTTCCACCCTCTTTGCCTAGTTCTCCACCACCTTCCACCTTCCACCATCTTCCAAACACTCTTCCACACTCACCCTAAACCATTCCACATCCATAATCATTCCCCATCCATCTTCACACAATTCACAAAAAATCACACCCAAAGGAATCATGTCCATTGCAATTCATGCCGCAAAGAAGGAGAGATCCATTTCCATTGGAGCATTTTAGGTGTTTTCTTTCTTTTGATTTTAATGTCTAATTTTATGTATCTTTGTATTGCATTTTAATGAATGAGGGAACTAAACCCCCTTAGTTGGGGGGTGATTCGAAACCATGTACATGCTTGCAATATGATTTGATTACATTCAGTTGTTATTTCATAAGTTGCGGATTCAATTCGTTCATCTACTTGATTGATAACTTATTTGTGTATGTTGATTGAGAGTGCACGCTTAGTTTTCATGCATGAATATGATGCTAGATTATGAGGGAGTTTCACATAATAGTTACAATCTTATAATCACAAGTACTGAAGGTCGCTCGAAAACGATCGCGTTGAATGAATTCTTGGCACTAGTTTCATGCTCATCATAGTAACGAATGCCTCGTCAACACTTATAGTTCTCATTGTGCTTCATGATTCTTGATTGTATCTTTATTGTGCTCATCACGTAAGGAACCTTTGAGGAATGCTTTGAATTGTTGTATGCGCTTTTCCATCCAATTCATTAACTTAAGGAGAACTTGAAGGTTAATTTAAGCGTATCTAATTAACTTGGGGTTGTGTTTTTTCATAATTTATTGAAAGAACAACTGAAAATCATTTTGTTTGCAAGTGTGTCATGTGTGTGAGAAGAACCTCCTAACTAGCCTTTTATCCATCCTTTTCATCCAAAAACGTTTTTACAATCTGTTTTGTTTTAAAGTT